AAAAAAAAAAAAAAAAATCCTTTCTTCTTCTCATGCTGCAACAAAGTTTTAATTTCCACTCCACAATAAAAAAATTCTGAAAAAACAACAAAGACCTTATCTTTTTGTTCATATAAACAATTAAACAAAACATATTCAACAAAACACAATACATATTACAACTACCATCAAAATTTAAAACATAATATTGACCAGAATCTCATAAATAATCTCACTCAATCAACTATAAATCATTTTTATTTATTTATTTTTCTTCACAAGTTGCAACGAATTTATGTTCCCCAGTTACCACTCAACCATAAAAGTTTCTTAAAAAACATAAAAGAACTAATCTTTACACACAACATATTTAACAAAACACATACATACTACAAAAACCAACAAAACCCCAAAACTTCTTATAAGTGTACAGACAGTTACAATACAAAAGCCTCATAAACAACCCATTAACCACAAAATGACAACAACACACAATTAGCTACAAAAGGGCACCGAACCAAAACCCAGAAATAACCATAAAACCCAGATTTGAGAACATATTGAGTAAACAAACCTCAAGAAAAAAAACATGGGTCTTTTAGAAATTGCCCCCCCAAAAAAAAAGACCACCTTGTACAGCTCAAAAAGACCAGGTCTTGAAATGATGAAAATTCAAGAAATGGATCAAAAACAGAATATTATTAGGTGCGCAGAGTGTGGAGATGATGATGATACCAATAGCTTACGGCACTTGAAAATAGGATCTAATTCTCAATATTATATTATTATTATTATTATTATTTTTTTTTTTTTTTTTTGGTACAATATTATTATTATTATTATTATTATTTATAGATTTTTATGTTGACAACTTTCTTTAAAGATATTTTCAAATGTTTTAAAAAATCACAATGTACGAGACTACAATGAGTATATTCTTTAATTTATTTAGTATGTAATATTATATAATAGTACATTTATTTAATTTATTAATAATAAGATATTGTTGAAAGGTCGTAGGTAGTGCTGTGGTCC